GGGACGGCATGGGGCACCACGCTGACGGTCGCGGGCGGCATGACATTGGCCATCGCGCATGTCGGTAACCTGCGCGCCACGCGGCTCCAGTATCTGACCTCGCTTTGACGCTGGACCATGAACCGGAGAGTTTCGCAAATGTCTAAATTCGTCGCTTCCTGCATGGCCGTGGCTTTCGTCGTGGTGACCTGTACCGCCGCGCTGGCCGGGGGTTCGCGAAGGATGAGCCGTCGCATTATCTGCCTGCCACGGGTCTCGATCTGCTGGCGGTGCTGCCGCCGGCGCCTGTGCCGACGATGCGCGCGGTCGTGCTGATCGCCAGATTTTCCGCGAGACGCGCAAGCTGGCGGTACGCCCGCTGGGTGCTGGCGACCAACGACGTGAAGCTGGACGATGCCGATATGGCACGCGACTTTTCATGTGCGCTGGGCGTTTCGCTGACCCCGCAAATGCGCCGACGACGATCCGGCTGATCGACGCCGCCGGATCGGACACGGCCCGCCAGACCGGCATCGCCAAGAATTATTACAAGCGCCAGCGCCCCTATCTGATCGATCGCGGCCCCGTCTGCCAGCCGGCGAGCGAACTCAAGGCCAGCTATGACTATCCGTCGGGTCATACCACGGCGGGCTGGACTGGGGCGATGTTGTTGGCCGAACTGGCGCCTGACCGCGCGACGCCGATCCGGCGCGGGGGCGGGCCTTTGGCGAAAGCCGGATCGTGTGCGGCGTCCATAATGCGAGCGCCGTAGAGGCGGGGCGGCTGTCCGCCACGGTGACGCTGACCGCCTTGTCACAAAACCCCGCCTTCCAGCGCGACCTAGCCACCGCGCGCGCCGAGATCGATGCGCTGCGTCGCGACCCCTGAAGCCCCGCGTCCCGATGCGGCGGAATGCCGGCGCGAGGCGGCCTTGGTGGCGCAGCCCATCTTCTGATCCCTGGCGCGGTCGAAACCCGTTTCATGACGGAACTGTCATCCGCCGCACCTGTTGGGGTGGGGCGGGTGGCACTTCGGCAAGGAACGGGTTCATGGTCAAGATTTCGGCATCGCGTCGCGATATATTGCGGCGCGGCGGCGGCTGTCGCCGCGCCTGCCGTGGCGGCGCAATCTCGGGTCCCTCGGCGACGCCGGTCAACACAATGCAGGACCCGACCGGCCGCTATCCCAAGCCGCCTTTCCTGCGCCAGCCTCAGCCTTGGCCCGGGCTTGCCAGCAAGATGCAACCGCTGCCCGATCATGGCGAGAAGAGCTATCGCGGCTCCGGCCGGCTGATGGGGCGCAAGGCGCTGATCACCGGCGGCGATTCGGGCATCGGCCGTGCCGCCGCCATCGCCTATGCGCGTGAGGGCGCCGATGTCGCAATCAACTATCTGCCTGCCGAAGAGTTTGACGCGCGCGAGGTCGTCGCGCTGATCCGGGCCGAGGGGCGGGCGCCGTGGCCATCCCTGGCGACATTCGCGATCCCGCCTTTTGCCGCAAATTGGTGGCGAATGCGGTGCGCGAACTGGGCGGTCTCGACATTCTGGTCAGCAATGCCGGGCGCCAGCAATCGGTCGACAACCTTGCCGAGCTGGACGATGCCGCCTTCGACTGGACGATGAAGACCAATATCTATGCGCCCTTCTGGATCGCAAAGGCGGCGCTGCCGCATCTGAAGCCGGGATCGGCGATCATCATCACCGCTTCGGTCCAGCGTTTCAGCCCTCGGGCAATTTGTTCGACTATGCGCAGACCAAGGCGGCCAATGTCGCCTTCGCCAAGTCGCTGGCCAACAGCTCGGCCCCAAGGGCATTCGCGTCAATGCGGTCGCGCCGGGGCTGTTCTGGACGCCGCTGCAGCCCTCCGGGTGGGCAGCCGGTCGATGCCGTCGCCAGCTTCGGCGAGAACACGCCGCTGGGGCGGCCCGGCCAGCCGGCCGAACTGGCCGCCACCTATGTCACGCTGGCCGCGCCCGAGCAGAGTTATGCCACCGGCCGGTCTTTGGCGCATCGGGCGGAACCGGGGTGGCTGACCCATTTGCGCACGCTCTTCCCGCCCGTTTTTGCGCGATGCCCCTTGACCCGCACGCGCCATTTCGCGCAGTCGCGCAAACCCTATCATGGACGGGCGGGAGAGTGGAATGGTCGAGGCACAGGATCGGATCGTCGCGGGCGTGGAACTGGCGGGACGAAGTCGATCGTGCTGATCGGGCGCGGGCGCGACATTCTGGTGTCGGAGCGGCTGCCCACCACGACCCCCCCGCCGTGACTTTGGCGGCGCTTTCGCCAGCGTCTGGCCGAATGGCACGAGCAGTATAAGCCCGAAGCGCTGGGCATCGGCAGCTTCGGCCCGATCGCGCTCGACAAGACCGGCATGGACTATGGCCATATGCTGGCGACTCCCAAGTCCGGCTGGGCCGGCGGACGTGGTCGGCGCGCTGGCCGAGGGTTTTGGCGAGCGCGTGGCGATCCATACCGATGTGACCGGCGCTGCGCTGGCCGAGGGGCAATGGGGGCGGCGCGCGGGCTGTCCGATCATGTCTATGTGACGATCGGCACCGGCGTCGGCATGGGCATCATCGTCAATGGCCAGCCGGTCTCGGCCGGATGCATCCTGAGGCGGGTCATGTCCGCGTCCGCCGGGTGGCCGGGGATGACTTCGCGGCGCCGCCCCTTTCACGGCGATTGGGGAGGGGCTGGTGGCCGGTCCCGCCATCGCCGCGCGCACGGGCAAGCCGGCGCAGGAGTTGGCGGCGGATAACCCCTGCCCGGACCTTCGTCGCCGATGCGCTGGCGGAGAGCTTTGCCGGCCTGTTCCTGACGCTGGCGTGCGGACGGATCGTCATCGGCGGCGGCGTCGGTGTCGGCCAGCCGCATCTGCTCGACATGGTGCGCCACGCGACGGTCGAAGCTGTCGGGCCATCTGCCCTTCGTGGATGCGGCGCAGGTCGCCAACCGCATCGTCCATGCCCAGCTGGGCGACCAGTGGGCCCGCTCGGCACGCTGGCCCTGGGCGCGTAGCGTATTGGACTGATCCCTTCCCCCCGGTCAGTGGGAGGAAGGTGATCGATCGCCCCCAACAAAAGCCTGTCCCACAGCGAACCCATATGGTTCGTATCGCCCATCACAGGGGAGGGCAAAATGGGGCAGGGGGGACGAAGTGAACGTGGACGCGCTGATCGCGCAGGTGATCGCGCGCGAGGGGGATTATAGCGATCATCCCGCCGACCGGCGCGGAGCGACGAGGTTCGGCATCACCGAGGCGGTGGCGCGCCGATGGCTATGTTGGGGCGATGCTGCGCCGATTGCCGCTGGCACGGGCGGAGGCGATCTATCGCCGGCTCTATTGGTCCGCGCCAGGATGGGATCGCGTCGCCCGCGCACGCGCCCCGGCTGGCGGAGGAACTGTTCGACACAGGCGTGAATATGGGGCCGGGGGTGGCGGCGAGCTTCTTGCAGCGCGCGCTCAACGCGCTCAATCGCGGTGGTGGTGATTATCCCGATCTGGCGGTCGATGGCCGGATCGGCACGGCGACGCTCGCCGCGCTCGGCGCCTTCCTGCAGCATCGCGGGCGGGCGGGTGAGACGTGCTGCTCAAAGCCGTCGAGGGCGTTGCGGGGGGAACGCTATCTGACGCTGGCTGAACGGCGGCCCGCCAATGAGGCGTTCCTCACATGGCTGGCTGGCGGATCGCCTGTCGCGAGCGCGGGGAGGCGATGGCGCAGGGGCGAGGCCGACCCGAACGACCGCTGGACCCGACGGGCGCGGGCCGACCTTTCTCTATGTCATGTATCTGCTGCTGCTGTGGAGCATCCTGATGGGGCTGCTCGCGGGGTGCGGCCGGCGATGGCGGCGGCAATGATCCGGGGATGGCGCAACATTCGTCCGCCATCCCAGAGCCGCTCTACGCGCTCTTCGGCACCGGCTATCTGGGCTATACGGTCGCGCGGGAATGGGGGAAGCGCCCCTGTCCGCCTCAGTAGAAGCGGGCGAGGGTGAGGTGCGTTCCCGCCGTCGCACATGTGCGCAGGCGGATGACAGTGCCCGGCTTGCCGACGGTCCAGCGCGCCATCGGGCTGTCGACATAATCCTTCGGGATCGGCTGTCCATCGATCGCGCAGATCGTGTCACCTTCAAATTGCCAGCCCGCCTTGTCCGCTGGCCGCCGCGCATGACGAGCACGCGCAACCGGTCGCCGCCGACGCCCATCAACAGCCCGGCGGTGGATCGCAACGCGGGTTGGTTGGCGTCGGGGCCAGGGCGAGCACCATGTGTCCCGCGCCGGGGGTCGAGCAACACGCGGTAGCGTTGCAGAAAGCCCGATCCCAGCCGCCCGGCGACCCCGACCGATTCGCTGAAGCCCCCTTGGCTGGTTCGATCCGGCACTTCGACCTCATGCGCGGTTAGCGTGCCGAGCTTCAGGTCGGTGCGATCGCCAGTTCATTGACCGAGGGGCCGGCCAGTCCGAAGCCGATCGCGCTCGTCGTGGGCAGCGCGGTCGCTTGGCCATGCGCCACCCCGCCACGGTGACGGTTGGCGCCGACCGTCACCGGTATCGACGATGATGGGCGACAGTCGCGCCGTGCCCAGTCCGACCACGCTCTCATAGACACGCCGCTCTGCGGAGATGGTCAGCGCGCGGTCGCCCCGGAAGGGCATCCGGCCCGGGGGAGCAGGCGAAGCGCTTGGCATGATAATCGATATCGAGCGCATGGGCCGCGAGCAGGTCGCGGCCGACCAGCAGATCCACCGCTTCCGCATCGCCGGTCGCCGTGGCTGGGAGGCGCGACCGCGACGCTGCCGCCCTTTCGCGTCAGGCCGCCCAGCGACAGGGTGCGCGTCGGCATCCAGCCGATCGCGACCGCTCCACTGATCGCGCTGGCCTCGCCACCGGGGCGGATGCGCGCGCGGGCCGCGATCGGGGAGTCACGCGACAACAGGTGAAGCTGACCCCGGTGTCGAGGATGGCGGAGGCGCTTTGCCCGTCGATCGTCATGGCGAAGCGGATCTGATTGCCCGGCGTCAACTGAAACGGAATCCAGCGCGCCTCGGTATCGGGCAAGTATTGCCACCCCGGATCAGGCGGCGGCGGCGACTACATCCTCGGCACCGTCGGCGCTTGCGGCCGCCCTCATGATGCGCACGGGGGGCGATCATCGCGGCGGTCAGCAACAGAGGGACGGGGAGCAGATAAAGCAAACGACGCATCACGCCCCAACGCCTAGCCCAGCCAGAGGCTGCGCGCGCGGAAATCGCCAGCAAGCCATCTACTGATCGCGGGGATGATTGTAAAATCGGCCACTCGCCCTCCATGCTCCAGCCCGGCGGAGGCCGGGGTCCAGTTACGGAACGATTGGAGCGACATACCGGCTGTACCCCGATGGTGAGGGGCGGCAAGCATCGCCTTTAAGCGAGGAATTGGCTTGGGGTGAACCACCCGCACCCCTGTCGGCGTTCGTCATGCGATGGGAGATTGGGAATGAGCCGACGATCATCCGCCGATCGCTCGCATCGGGCGAGTTGCATTATGCGACACAGGTCTTCGGCGCCGCGCTCGATTTTGGCCGCGTGAAAATCCACAACCGACGCGCCTATTTCTTTCAACCGTCCAACACCGCGATCACGCCCAATGGCGAGGTCCATTTCCCGCCGGCCAGCTACAAGGCGACGATTTCTCCACGACGATCGGCGATGCGTCATGGTTGATCCACGAACTGGACCCATGCCCGGCAATATCAACAGGGCATGTGGGTGAAGTTGCGGGCGGTGTTCAACCGCAACCATCATTATGGCGATCTGTCGCGATCGCGCCGGCCCTTCCATCCTGGCGGCATCGAGGCGCAGGCTTCGATCGTCACCGACTATTTCCTGCTCGCCCATCATCGAAAACCGCAGCACGGCAGCGGGGCGTTTCCAGGATTATGTCGACGTCATCCCCTTCGCCATCGGGGGAAACGGCATGAAGCGCATCCTTGTCGCGTTGCTTGAAAGCACGTTGACCGCCCCTATTGGTGGATGGTCGCGACCTTCTCCTTCGGGCTGTTCGGGAAGCGCAACTGGCGGCCCCGCCGCCCGATCAAGGGAACCGTTTCAGACGGGGATGAGCGTCACTGTCGCGATCATCTTTTACGCCATGCCGTCGCCGTCTGGCAAAAGGTCGTCCGCGTCTGCGCCTCCTGTGACGCTATAAGGCTTGGTTTCACAGGCATGCCTTCCAGCAGGGCCTCGGTCGAACCCGGAACTGCTTGGCCTTGTCCAGCGTATAGGGCGCAGGCCCTGCCGAGCGATATTCGCCGATGATCTTGCCGTCCGATCCTTCATCCAGATAGCGGAAGCTGAACAGCCCCGGTGATGATCACCGGGCCTTCCATGCCGATCACTTCGGTGATGTTGGTCACGCGGCGGCTGCCGTCGCGCAGGCGCTTGACTCGATGACTATGTCGACCGAGTTTGGCGATCTGGCGGCTGATCGCTTCCTTGGGCACCCTTGATGTCCGACATCATCACCATATTCTCCATACGCGCCAGCGCCGCGCGCGGAGAGTTGGAGTGAGCGTGTACATCGACCTGCCGCGGCCGGTGTTTATCGCCGCCAGCATGTCGAAACATTCGCTGCCGCGAATTTCGCCCAGATGATCCGGTCGGGCCGCATACGTAGCGCGTTCGACGAGGTCGCGGATGCTGATCTCGCCCGCCTCCGTGCTGGCGGGGCGGGTTTCGAGGGGGAGCCAGTGCGGCTGCTGCAGGCGAAGCTCGGCTGCGTCTCGATAGTCAGCACGCGCTCCCACCCGGGCCGATCATCTTCGATAGGGCGTTGAGCATCGTCGTCTTGCCTGAGCCTGTGCCGCCGGAAATGACGATGTTGGAACTGGCTGGCGCCTGCGATCTTGAGGAGCGTCGCCATGTCGCCGCTCATCGACCCGCCGCCCGCCATCATGTCGAGCGGATCGGCTTGGCTGAGAATTTGCGGATCGAGATGGCGGTGCCGCGCAAGCCGAGCGCGGCACGGATGACGTTGACGCGACTGCCATCCTTCAGGCGCGCGTCGGCGAGCGGGGTCGTTCCGGTCGACGCGGCGGCTGACCGAATTGACGATGAGCTGCGCGACCGGAACAGATGCCTCGTCGCGGAAGCGGATATGCGCGAGTTCGAGCTGTCCTTGCGCTCGACATAGGTGCTCGGGCCCATTGACCATGATGTCGGGTGACATCGGCATCGGCCAGCACCGAGCGGCCTGAGCCCCAGCAACCTGTCGACCAAGACCTTTCCAGCGCGAATTGCTCGCGCCGGTTGAGCGTCAGCTTCAGCTCGGCCAGCACCTCGCCGATGATCGGGCGGAATTCTCGGCCAGTTCGTCCTTGCCCAGCGTCGCCGCTTCGGGATCGACGCGTTCGAGCAGGCGGGGGAGAACCTGTTCCTTTGATCCGGTGGATCGATGCCCGAACCCTTCTGTTGCGCGCCGGGCTGGGGTCGACCGCCGCGGCTCGGCGTTCGGCCAGCCGCTGCATCGCATCGACCGTCTCGGCGGGCGTTGGGGTCGCCAGACGTGCTCAGCGGCGGAAACTGGCCACCGCCTTTGCGGAGCCCGGCTCTGGGGCGCGGGTGGGGGCCGGGCTGTGCATCGGCCGCCACGCCAAAGGCCGGTCGGCCCCCTGCGCGCTTCCGCAAACCCCGATTTATGACTGAACGCATTCATCCCGCAATTCCCTATGGCATAGCGCGTCGGCATAAATGGCAAGATTTACCATATGCCCAACTGAACGCGGCTGCTGCTGCCCAAAGTGAAAGGGATATGGCGGCCGGCGATGCTCAGCCGTCGTCCTTTGCGCTCGCCCTGACCGTCGCGTGGCTTTTTGCAGCGCGGCGCGCGCGCCGACGATATCGCCGCGTGACGGCGCGCGGGGTCGTGCGGTCGTCACCATCGCGATGGTCGATGATCAGGTGGCGGGGTTTCGCCATGGCTCGGGCTTTTGCTGTGGCGCCCAACCGCATCGTCAACAACGCGCATGTCGTCGAACTCGCTGAGCGCTATCCTGACAATGTCGTGGTCGGCGTGGTCCTTCCAGAAGGCAGCAAATTATCATCAGGGGCGGGTCATCGCCATGATCTGCGGCGCGACCGGCGCTGATCGAGGTGAGCGAGGCTGCTGCCGCCGGTCGCGCTGTTCACCGGCCCGGTGACCGAGGGCGATCAGGCCATCGCGCTGGGCCATCCTGGCAATAAATGATCTGGCGACCGCCCAGTCGGCGGGCGGATTATATCCGGCCGCTGTCGCCGGTGTGGTCGCAGGGCGTCGCCTCGGGGCGGCGGACGCCGACGGGGATCGAGGTGTTGTTCACACCGCCAGCATCGCGCGCGGCACCGGGCGGGCTGCTGCTCGATCCCTGCGGGCGGGTGATCGGCGTGAACTCGCGCTGACGCGCGCGGACGAGGGGCGATCTGACCTTCGGTTTCGCGATCGCCGATACCGAGCTGATGGCGTTCCTGCGCGCCGCCAAACAGCCCTATATCTCGGTGGCATCGCCCCTGCACCTCGATCGAGGAGCGGTTGCGCGAGGACAGCGCGGCGGATGCGCGTGCGGTCGCCGATGCCGCTGCCGCCCGGCGCGAGGCGGCTAACGCCCGCGGCGCTGCGCCGGAAGAGGCACTGGAATGCCGCGCGCAGCGAAGCGGAATGGTCGCGCGAGAATGTGATGGCGCTGGCGGCACTGCTGCTGGTCGGCGGGGCGCTGGCGATGGCGGCGCTGGGCTGCTCGAATCGCGCGGCCAGCGGCGGCGGGCGATCTGGACCGTCTCGGCGGGCGGGGTCGCGTGGTGGCGGCGGTCGTCACTTTCCTATGCGCCCCTCGGCTGAGATCACCTTTGCCGCGCGAATCGAGTACGACTCCCCCGCCGTCACGCCGTCCACCGCCGCGCTTGGCCCGCTGATCTGCACGCTTCAGGCCGATTGCAGCCGGATCACCGTGTCGTCGACGGCGGAGACTGCGTTCAATTGGGGGCGCGAACGGATGCGTCGATCGCGACGTCCAGTATCTGGAAGGCGGAGGGCGGCTGGCGCGTGCTGGTGCCGCAGGACGAGCAGACCGTCACTATCGCGCGTTTCGATCCCGTCACGCGCACCTATACCCAGACGCGCCAGGCGCTGCCCGCCGCGACCATGGAGTCGATCCGCAAGCTGCAGGCCGACCAGCCCCGGCCTGTATGAAGAGCGACGCCGCGCTCCAGAAGCTGAGGCCGAGCAGGCCGCTATCCGCCAGCAACCGCCCCTGCTGCCCAACGAGAAGCTGGTCTATAGCTGCGACGCGCCTGACGCCCCAGCTGTCGCGCACCACTTGTTCGTCCCCGCTCATATCGAAGGAGATAGACCTCGGTATTGAGGGCGGCTTGGGAGGGCCGGGGGAAATGAAGAATTGGGGATGCGCGCCGGTCGGTGGATGGCCGCTGCGTCGGTCATGGCGTGTGCGATGCTGGTGACGGCGGCAGTACAGGCCGAGTGGGTGAGGCGCGGAGCTGTATTTCTGTCCTTTTTGCGGCAATACGTCGGAAGATCTGCTGCGCACCATGGCGACGCGGCTGGAGCAGTTCGACGGCGCGATGCGCCAGCTCCATGCGCCTTCCCCGAGCAGGAGGGGCAGGAGAGCAATCCCGTCACCGTCTACGTCCTGCCCGACGAATCGATATGCAGTGGCGGCTTGGCGGCAAGGGCGGCGACTATGTCGCGGGCTTCTACGAACGCGCGTTTCCGGATCGGTGGCGTTCACTCCTGATGCGCGGCAGGGCGACGGGCTGAATGCGCTGAAACCCCAGATCGTGCTGTTCCACGAATATGCCCATCATTCCCCCGTTGGCAATTCGCGCATCACGCCCATCCCGGCCGGTACTCGGAAGGCTATGCTGGAGTCGTCAGCACCGCACGGTTCGATCGCGAAGGGATCATGGTCGGCGTCGCGGCGCAGCACGGGCCTATGGTTTGATCGATAGCAGCAAGCCTGTTGATCGAAACCCTGCCTGATCTGGACCCCGGCGCAAGCCGATCCGGGCGAGCTTCGATCAGGTTTACGGTCGCGGCTGGCTGACCCATTATCTGCAGTTCCGGACGCAGGCGCCCAAGCTCAACGAAATATCTGAAGCTGCTCAACAGTGGTGTGCCCAGCATCGCGGCTGGCGACAAGGCGTTCGGCTCGCCTGCAAAAGCGCTGGGACCGCAGCCCGACGCCTATCTGCGCCGCAGCACGATCCCCGGCCTGCTGATCCGCTTCGACCGCCTGCCAAGGCGGAGATCGCGATACGGACGCTCGGCCCCGGCGAGCAGGCGATGCATGCCGCTGCGCATGCAATCGGATCGCGGCGTGAACCGCACGACGGGCCAGCAGGTCTGGCGATCGCGCTGCTAAGATCGCGGCATCCTATCCGAACGAGCGGTACGCAGGGCTGGTTTGCCGAGATGGCTTGCGATGATGTCGGCAGGACGTCGTGGTTGAAGCGGCGGCGGAGGACCGGGCGCTGGTGGCCGATCCTAAATCGCAACAGGCGCTGCTCCACATAAGGCTGCCCACCTTTGTCGCGCCTATAGCGAGCATAAGGACGACGGTTCTGCTGGCGCGAGGCGCGTAGTTGGATCATTCGCGCTAATCGCATCGACCCCAATTCCGCCGAGCTGCTGGCGGCAACCTTTACCGCAGCTTGATGGCGGGCGAGAAGCTGAGCGAATGGCGGTCGCCGGG